AGCCAGATATTTGCACATTTTCGACTGTCTTCTTTGGAGAAGCTTCACTCAACATCGCTATTGTTTGCAGTTGTTGGGCGTGGTTGCCAACGCCACATTGGCAATACCTCTGCCGTTGGCCAGTTTCCGTGCACGTGGGAGGGGAGGGTTTGCTCTTACTTTATTTACGAGCCCGCTTCTCCTGCCAGCCGTTGTGTGAGTAGGGCTTCATGTTCTCGTCCTTCGAATTCACCATGGTTTTCATCATCATAGTCATAATCGCCCTGCTGATTCATTCTCCTTACGATTAACATTGCCAGATTCATGTTCAGGCTGATTCTGCCATTCAGTCACCTTCCCATTCATCTCGTCATGTTCCTCATGATGATGTATCATACAAACACAGGAGTTCGGGATTCATTCCAAAGTTTGTCAACACGTAGCGGCAGAAGGCGTGGCGTTTTGGTTTGACACAAGGCTCACTAGGTTTACGCGATAAAGCCGCACAAGACCACACAAAGCGTTCACTTCGACAATACAGGGAAAGAGGGGCCCCTGCAGCCTGCAGCCGAGTCTGGAGCTGCTGCGAGGACATTCTGCACATTCCCATCCGAAGTTTCTCCTTCCTGTGCAGGGCTCAGACCATCGTTGTGCTACCACCTCGCAGAGCAGGTTCAATTTAGGTAATCCGGCTTCTGCAATCTGGTTCACCGGGCACAGGGCCTACGGCCAATACGGTGAAAACGCAGCAGAATCACAAGTTCGGCCGCTTCACTTCTGCCTGCAGCAGCAAATGATGCCAGACAGGAGTCTTCTCCAGTGGAACCTTTTGCAGAAGATCGCATGGAGCTGCTATCCCGGAAACCACGGGCGTACCTCCAGTCGAGCCCCCGGCTCGTGCACATGCCACACTGCCGTCTCTTTGTGAAAGCCGGAGGCGCAAATTCTTAAGCCCACTGGAGTGCCAGACCCTCATCAGCATGCTGCTTGGAAGAACCTGCGGATCGCTGGAATGGCCGTATTTGGTGACTTGCTGCTAAGTTCAGGATTCTGCAGCGCTCACACGGATCCAACTTCGAAACAAAGCTGCGGTCTCCTTTGGCAGTGGATGATCCGGTCTGGACGCCGGAACAGATGCCTGGCAGCTTGTGAAGAGAGTAAGCTGCTCGAACCCATGCAGTGGAATCTCCGAAGCCACTCGCCCGCGGGTCGCGTCCCCTGCTCATCTCGCGAGGCGAGAGCTGATCCTGAAGATTGAGCATCGCCTGGCTGAGTGGACGGGCTGCCCTGCTCACCCACACGAGACTGCCTTGGTTGGGACCTTGACTCCGCCTCAGAAGAACGAGGCCGGCGACGAGGCATAGAGGCGTTACATTAATGCTTCCAAACTCCCCCGTGGGATTTCCCCGCTTGGGACCTCCCCCGGACATGGTGCTGGGCAGCGCCTGCTGCAGCACTCCTTTTTGCTTCGGAGGACGCGAAGGCTGCGGTGAGCAGCCATTTGGGCTTGCACGCTGAGGTCTCAGTTGATAGCTGACAGTAGTGGGGTGGGAAACGTGCACTAGCCGCCATTTCCCTCACGGCGAGGTCGACACCAATGCAGCCCACTGGCGCTACTGTACGGCCGCGCGGCTCTAAAACCTACAGCAGCCACAAAAGAAAACCGGGAAGCCACAGGCCATCATCTACCTCTCCAGCCTTAGCGATGGCCTGCGTGGAGGGGAGACTGTGTTCCCTGTGGCGCTCGATCCGAACCGTGAAGGCTTGGAACGAGGTTAGGCAGCTTCCATCTTCGGACTTAGTTGAAGCACATCTCTGCGGATGAACACATGCTCGAGCATGTTCGAGTCACGTGTGTAGACTGCACATAGCACGATCGGGCCGAGATCCGGTGATCAGGCCCTCCGAGTGAGGCGGAGGAGCGAACTATCGAGGCCCGACGCTGCATGATAATTGGCCAGGACCGAGAAGCCAAGTAAGGTGTAATTTCGGGAACAGGTCAAGCGGATGTGCCTGAGATCAAAAACACTTTCTGTGTTCCTAAGACTGAGAAGGATGAAGGATGTCCGGTTCCGGCCACTTGGGCTCCCGTCATGGAAACCTGGCGAGAAAAGCTGTTTTCCCATGCTAGGCTGCGGGTGAACTGCTCGACATGGGCTTCGACCACACGGACAAGGAGCTGTGATTTGTGCATGTTCGTGTTCGTGTTGATGATGTGACAAGTAGCTGCTGCCACGTCCAAGGCACTTGATGCCAGTCAGACAGTTGCTGCGGATGCTGCACCACGACGAAAATGCAAAGGACTTCAGACATTCAGGAGGGCTCACACGGCTCCTGTATTTTTCTGTATGACAGATGCAGCAACAGCAGCAGGGTCGGACTGTGATGTTGCCATGCAAATGGGCCGATGTGAGCATTGTTAGCTACTGTCAGTGGGGACCCTGTTGGCTTTTTTCAACCTTCAAGCCCTGTGCTGCCAGGGAGAACAATACGCGAGATTCGGGAGTCAAGCTTTTGGGTTTTCACTTTGGCCTTCTTGGTTCGCTTCGCCGGCTCAGTGGTATGTGTAAGTAGAGCATGTGAACACACTGCGACTGCACTTGTTCGGACGCTGACTGAGGCTGAGACATGGCGACATTTGCATGTCAGGTGGTGCTTGCATGTTGTGGTCGACAGTCTGTTTACGCCAACTCCGACAGCTGCCTTGTGTCGCCCGAGCTTGTTTTGCCTCCCATTTTCCGGGTTGTTTCGGATTGGACGGTGGTTAGCGGGTTCCGCCATTTTCGGGATCTAATTACGCTGAGTTGCATGCGCTTCTGATTTTGGCCGCACATAAGGCCCGTGCCCAGATGGCGGCAAACGATATCCTGGCTCGAGCCGACTGTGACGACTCTGGTTTGCGGGCATCTTGGCCGATCAGTCGGGCCCATTACGATCTGCGGCCCCTGGGAGCTGCAGACGAATATCATTGGCAGCTGACAGACTTGAATGGATAGCAACAAGAGAGTAGCCAGGACAGAAGCGGCTTCGTTAGTTGTTCCGATTTTATTCAGGATGCCTCTTGGAAGATCCAAGCTTGGCATGATGCGGTCGCTGATCTTGTTGTTTGCACTTGGTTCGAGCCGGTCTTTCCACAGACAGGCAGCACAAGGGAAAGCACTGCGTCCCAGGTCACTCCCTCTCAAGGCTCCGTTTGCATCTTCTGGACACGTCAGGCAGGGCTTCGCAAAGCTTGTAGGGTCTACAGGAGCCTGGGGCTTCAGGTTCAATCAAACTTGAGCACCCGGTATTGCGGCAAGCGAATCTCTTTCGGCTCCATGCTTCGGGTGATCAGAATTCTGCAGCGGAATCCTGTGGCAGGATGATGGGGAGATCGACCGCTTCTCCTGGCATGGAGGTCGCGGTAGATGCGTTTCTGCAGGATGTGTTGTGGGTGCCACTGTCTCACAGTCCTTGCACAGGAGCTCCGGTGCGTCGGGAGGCAAAATCGGCCCAGCGAGTCCTGGCTCACTTTCGGCTCTGCTTTGCAAACTGCTGTCAGTGATTTATTGGATCGGCTGATGTTCTGTCAGTAGTTACAGCATGCTCTGCATCGGGAGGCGACGTGCCACCATGAAGTGATTTGAAAGTGCTGTCACATAATTCTTACGGCCAGGCAAGGACAGAGCTGATTCTGCGAACCATGGCCTTGTTGTCCCAGGACTTCTCAGACCTGAGATGCTGGGCTGGAAGTGGACACTGCAAAAGTTTAAGGAGGTTCCGATCGACAAGCGTACCTCGACGAAAGCTGTGTGATGCGTTGGCGGTTGCGCTTCTCGAGTTTTCAATTGTCAGAGGTTCAGAATGCAACTCCATGTGCAGGAGGAAGTGCGGACAAGTTGGCTGATTTCGCGCGAAGAACACGACGAGGAGCCACGAGTAGCTTTGGCTGACGACGTGCGAAAAGACTTCAGTCGCGATGGGTTTCATGCAAACACATGCACGTAAGTTGCCATCACTGGCAATCAGCTTGTGATGCAAGCGCCTCAAAATAAATCGACTCTACACTACACATCAGAGGCCCCCCACCGATGCAATCCCGCGTGCCATGTGTTTCTGGATTTCCATTTTTAATATTCAGTCTTCACCTCAGAGCAGCTGTTCAACATCTCGAGCGATCGGCTTACCATGCATACATCCGGCCACAGGACATGCGGTGCATGGTTGCATTCGGAGCAAAATGCTTTTCATTTCGTGTTTCTTCGAGAAAAGAGAGCATTGTTTCCCATGTTTGACCGGCCCATTCTGGACAAATTCTGGGGTCCAATTCTGGGGCCTCAGTTTCTTTTCTTTGCTCCCATCCCGAGTGAAGTGGGCAGTCGGCCAACTGAGTAGGGATGCGGACGTGCACAGGCTTGGAGCTCAGAGTGATTGTGCTGCCAAAATTCTGGGGCCTCAAAACTCCATGTACCGCATTGTTTCTTTTTTTCTCTGGGTTTTTCGGACATCTGAAACTGAAGTGCAGACGTGCATCTCCTCCTTTGCTTGTGGCGAAGCCTGCATAATCGGCTGAGTTGTGTGCGGCCCACCGCCCCCCCCCTTTTGGCCCGGGTGCCCGGTTGTGTTGGATGTCTTTGCAGGTTGCAGATCTTTTTTAAAGAGAAGCTGGCCCAGCCTGCGTCGAAGCAGGACGGGGAACACACCCTTCCCACAGCCCGAAACATTCGAGAGGGGCTGACGCACGGGCTAGACTCGCCATACATGTTTGTGCGGAGAGTGAGTGAGAGTCCCGCTTCCTCTGGCCTGGTAGAGAGACAGAGAGAGCAAGCGAGAAAAAGAGAGAGAGAGAGAGCACCCTATGCCCCGGAGAATAGAATAGAATAGCGAACGAGGGTGAGAGATACAGTAAGACTTCTGAACCGATTTCAAAACATAATTTTCCGAACGGCTAGGGGTTTGATGTCATGATTGCAGCGGATGTCGGTGGTCACTTTTTCTCGCAGCAGCCATTTTAGACTCTGTTAAAAAAAATATCCTTTTCAATGAAGCAACCTTCGCTGTCCCGACGATGTGCTTGGGCCACGGTCTGGTGTTGGCCGGGTGCTCAGATCGGGGGTTGCGGACACGTAAGCACGGATATGGCCGTCAACTGCCAGGGTGATGCTGCCGTTGGCCACAAGCATGAAGCTCCTGGAGGCGAAGGGGTTGCGAGAGTTGCTTCAGCTGCGTCCTTGTTGTTGTGCAGCGGCTGGCTCTGCAGGAGTCAAACGCCTCGACATTTGGAGCTGTCGCCACCAAGTCGAAGCACCACTTCAACGAGTCTGTCGCCGATGTTCAGCAAGCTCTCATCCTTCGCTCATCGCAAGGTTCTCACCAAGAACGTGCCAACACCTCCAGGGACCAAGCTCTCGATGCAGTGGTGTCTGCAAAGTTCTTCCACGATATCGGGGACGCCTTCGCAGACATTGGTGAGACGCTTGCTGACGCCGGAATGACCGCAGGCACTGCGATGTTCAACGCAGCCGTCGTGGTCGGCAAGCATGTCGTTGCAACAGCAAAAATCAGCTATGACACATTGCCGCAAGATATCAAGCAAATGGCAGAAGATCTGGGAGATGCTGCCGTTTCTCTCGGCCACACTGTTGCGGATGTCGGGCAGCAGATCGGCCAGGCAGCGGTGACCCTGGCGGGGGATCTCAAAGACACCGCGGCGCGAGCCTACGACAAGGCCAAGAACCTGGCCAACGATATTCAAAGCGAAATGCAAGCGGGACTTACGGCGCTAGGGGATTCGATCGCCAACGCGGCGGAGAAATTCGGTGCCATGGTCGCGGCGGTTGGTACGGCAGCTTGGGAGGGAATCAAAGACTTCGTCGAGTGCCTCGCCAATGCATACAATCCATGCAATCTTCTAATAGGCGACCAGTGTGATTGCAACGATAGCAGCTACATCAGCTTCGGCACTACAGTGTCGGTGGCGTGCAAATTCAAGGCGGCGGCTGATTTCGGGAAGGGCTTCTCCTTCCAGCCTGACCCCTTGAAGACGACATTTGGGCAGGCCGAGAACGGCAAAGTCAGTCTGCCTGGGAGGGACTCGGAAGTGACGGATCTTCCGAAGACGAAGAGGCTCAGCAAGCCAACGAAGTCGCTTGCACCCACGGGCTCCTGTGAGAGCAGCTTGGAACTGGCTATCGAGGGTGGTGTACAGTTTCTGCCACTTGTCGAAGCTTCGATCAATCTCGGGAGCGGCGACACGACTTTCACCATCCATGGGCTGATTAGGGCGTCGGTTGGTGCGCTGGCCAAGGCTCAAGGCAGTTGTTCCTTCAATGCAGAGAAGCGCTTCCCGGAGAAGCCCAAGAAGCTGGGCTGCTGTTGCAGAGTTTGGGGCTTAAGCCATTGGGTCGGATGCAAAAAAGGGTTGTGAAGCTGGAACGTGGGCACCTTTAGGACCAAGAATACATCTTACTTGAACCCATGAGAGCAGCACAACCCAGGAAGAAGGCGATCTGCGGGCCAGGGTTCTGTATCATCATCCTTCTTCAGATGGTCGCGGAGCTGGAGATCACAGGCACCCTGACAGGAACGGTGGAAGTTGGAGCCGGCGTGGACTTCGAAGTTGAAGGCACGGTGATCGTCAATCCGACTGGAACGGCGTCGGTGAACTTCCAATCACCCTCGATCTCGCACCAGGCAGCCGTAATTGGGGGACTTTTTCGGATAATTTTAGGGCTGCGCCAGGTGCGGGCAGCTCGAGTTCTCGCACCCTTGCGAGGCTTTTGGCCCTTGAAACACCCTCCCCGACACAGAGGAATGGTTTTTTCGTGCAGAGTCCACGTCGAGCTTCTTACCAGGCATCTTCAAAACTCAAGGCATTCAGATTTCGGGAAGAGATAGCCCCAACAAGTATCCAACACGCCATGCACGGTCGGCGGACCCCCTTTATTTGTGTTTATATCAAGGGCTCCTCGTGTTGGAAGCCTCTAACATGTGCCTTGATTAACATCCTAGCTAGTATTTGGGAAACCCATTTATGGGGACCGTTCTTAACCCTATATACTTTTCTCTTAAAGGGACCTTACTGAGAGAGCCTATATCCCCAAGGGTCCCCCTAATCCCAACCCCTATAACATGGGGAGCCCTGCTTCGAAGAATGGATTTTCGATTGGGGCGAGTGCATCTGCCTCCATCCGCCTTGGTGCAGGGCCTGTCCTCACAGCGACTCGGTTGAAGCTTCGGTTTTCTTTTGCAGGATTGCTGCTTCGTGTGACGGATGTCAGGATGTAGATCCCCGAACATGTAAGAGTCCTTATTATCAGGATTTAATCCCAGTATGAGCTTGACAGAGTACTAGCACTTGTGGGCGGCAGGGACGATGTTGTCTTAGGTTGTGATAGTGGAGTAGCCTGCTTGCACAGTGGGCCACAGCAAAAGGTGTTTCCAATGCCTGGAGTGCCGGTCACCTTCAATCCCATGTTCCATGCTGAAGCCAAAGCACAGGGCACAATCAAGTTCCAGTCAGATTCTTGGATACTCTTGGTAAGTCTTTCGGGCTTGGGATGTTTTGGATGTCGAGTTGTATTCATAATTTAGTGCCTTTCATTCGTGCTTATGAATTGCAGCCGGTGGCTTGCTGTATCCCTAAACCCAAAGCCCTCGACCAAGACAAATACCGTGGGCTCCCTCATCGACAACTCCCACCCCGCCGGTCAGCTCGACATGTGTGGAGCAGCCGTCCGCAGCCGAGCCTGGAGTTCTTGGGTCTTGGAAACCCTGCAGCCCGTGATAACCCGTGTCTTTCCCTAAACCCTAAGGCCTTTCACTTGAAGCTCTGAGGCCCTGAACGTCTATGCCGATGTCGGCATCATCGGCTTTGCCCTGCCTCCAGAGTTCCTGACTTGCACTGGCTCTGGTTTTGTTGGGTTTGGACCCACGACTTGTAAACCGACCTTTCTTTAAGGGGTGCTATGTTGGGATTTGTCCTGGTCCCTGGTTCCTGAGAGAATACTTGAGGCCCTGTTGTCAGCCCTCCCAGAGCTGCGGAGTGAGTCAGCAAGCCTAGTAGAACTGGGACCCCCCACCCTCATAATCATTCAACCCTACCAAGGCCTGAAAACCATCAAGGGGGGGCGGAGGGGGGGTTTAGCAATAAGAGGTTGACATTCGTCCTCATTCAGAGAGCAGGGGGTTCATAAAACAGCAGTCTACACGAGGGAAGAGGGCCGTGGCCCCCGGCCTTCAACCCTGAAGCCGAACCCTGCGCCAGCAATGAGACGAGGTTCCGAAAATTATTCCGTCCTGCTCAGCTTGTGGATATGATGAAGCAAGGCATGATTGACAACGCCAAAGCAATGTTCCGAATGATAACAGGTGCTGCGAACTGTGCTGGCTTGGGCGCAGTGACTTCAGCCGTGGAAGACAAGTTCGTAGCTGTGGCAGAAGCTGGTGCAGCCGCCCTTTCGGGGCCTCTTAACCGCTTGCCGCTCGACTGGGCGCTCAAGGCCATCGACCTGATGCAGCCAAGGAAGCTCTTCTGCAAGACTGTCTCTTGGCAAGAAGAGCAGAAGCGGTCCTGACAGTGCTCATGCCTCGTGCGCATGACTGCGTGGGGTCTGAGTGTCAGCTTGGGCCCCGCGATGGATCTTAACATCTTCGTCCCATCTGTACTTCGTTTGCCTGTGGCTCCAAACCCCGTGGAGGATATGCAAACATATAAAAAAACTCCATGCCTGGCTGCTCTTTACGTACAGTCCTCTAGAAGGTCGCCGGGCCTGTGTCCGTGCCTTCTATTTTCGGAAAGGATGTCAAGAACGCACCTGTGTTCAAGATCAGGTACCCTTGTTGGGGTGCCTTCCAGCGGGGACGTAAGCGCAGAATCGAGGTCAAGAAAGAACTCTAAACCCTAAACCCTAAGCCCTAACCCCCCCTGAACTCAGTAGTTGCATCTGCCTTGTACCAGAACAACCCTGCAATGCGGGCTCGTGCTTGCTAAGCTAAGTGGGGGGGAACAATCCCACTTTTCCTGTTCCAGATTCGAGAAACCTCTTCTGTAAGGTCTTCACAACACCTGGTTTCTCGACGGCCCCCTGTGCGGCGGATCTCGGCTGTGAGAAGTCCGGCAGGTCCAAGGAGCCCGGGAACGCGGCTCCTCCACCGGAGCAACTAGGCCCTTGTTCGGGAAGGGTCATTTGCGTGACTGCGAAAAACCGGACAGATGGTAAATGAATGAGAGATCCCGAGATCCCTGCTTACGATATCTGCATGTAGCTGCTTTGTTGGGGGTTAGGCTTCGCCCAGGCAAGTGGAAAACACGAATGTGTTGGAGCATGCGGCGGCGGGGGCGTGCAGCGACATTAAGTTCGGGGACCGGTTCATTCAGCTGGGCGACTGGCGTTTGGCTGAAATTGATGACGAGCACTTCAGCATCTCGTACAAGGCCCCTCGGGCTCTGTTTCTGAACATTGTTTTTTTCTATTCGGCGCTGTGATGAGAAAAGGTCCGTAAGGAAGAGAAAGGCTTTGAATCATGAAAGACCCCCAGAGAGGGCCATGATGCAGAGAAAGATCGGAGCTGGATTCGGCAGAATCCGTCCATCTTGTCTACGGCATGGTTTATGTCAAGTCATGTCGATAAAATGAAAGCAAGATGGTCACACAGCAAATCCTGCTACACCCTAAGCATTAAACCTCAACCCCAAATTCACCATCATATGGAATTGTTGAAACTTGGGTACCTGAGGACGGCTCCACCCAGGGTCAGATTTGGAAGAAGGACGGCAGCGTTCATGGCAACTTCGGCGGGGCCACTTTCAATGCTTGGGGTCCGACGAGGCTACCTATTCTTAAGGACTGAATTCTTAGGAACTCATACGAGGACCCCTTTTTAAAAGGTAGCTAAGTAAATTTAGGGTCTAGGTAAAACCTAAACCCTAAGCTCTGAAAGTTTGAGCCCTTCTGAAGCGTCGTCGACCAGGCCAGTCCTGGCTCAAGCGAAGGGCATCTCCTTTGGGTTCCAATTCATCCAAATCGGCAACTGGCGCATTGGGGCTGCTGATAACGATCACCTATCGATCACGTCCCCATGGCCGCACCAAGTTTCCCCAAACAGTGTTTCGACACTGGGGGGCTCTTACGTTCAGATCAAAGAGTATTTGACTCCGCACCGTGCGCGGCCCGCGGCATGCCCGATGTCTCCCTGCGCGCAAGCTCGCTCCCATCGCTCCGGATGCGGCAACAGGGTGCCGAATTCATCGTGATGACAATGTAAAATACATCTTTTCGGTGCCCCGCAATTTCGTGAGTCGCGTTGCATGTTTCGGGTCCAGAATCGTGCTCTGGCCAAAGTCCGCTCGCCTTTTTGGCTCTTGAAGCGCTCGAAGGCTGGAGAGTCGCGGCAAAGGCCCACCATTCGGCTCCTGTGTTTCTTTGCTGCGGTTTTTGAATTCTGGCTCTCCACGAGGCTTCAGATTTTTCAGCATCGTCCAAAGTGCGTGAAACCGTGGCAGGGGCAGACTACCAGGGTTTCAGCGCCTGAATTGTTGCAAAAGTCGTAGTGGCGCTCTCGCCACAGTGCCGCCCCTAAACCCTAAACCCTAGTTTTCCTCACCACCGCCTTGGGAAGTCCTGGAAGGGTGGGGGGTCGCTCGTTAATCGTGCTGCCACAGTTCCGTGCGTTTCCTGGTCTCGATATGGTCTCGAAAAGCAGAACTGTCGCCCGCTTTTGGCGCTGAGGTCTTGGAGTTTGAAGTAGTTGGAAGTTTTCTCTTGGAGTGGTTTTGGATATGGGTGGTTGTCAAAATTAGGGTCCCTCTTTGGGTCCATACTATAGTACGGCACCAAAAAGGGACCACAAAATTGACAACCATCCATGTGTCATGGTTAAAGTTTTGGGGTGGTCTTTACAGGATCTTTGGAAGGGTTTTAGGAATGGTCCTCACGTTGTGGTTGCGCGGTCTGGGGTCCTTCAGTCTTTGGGGTCTACGCCGCTGTAAAAGGAAGGTGAAAAAACCGAATGAAGATTTGATCCGAGGCACAAAGATGGATGGAGCCCTATGATCTACAAGTTTGACGGCTCGCGGCACCCTAAAATGCAGGGCGCCACTCGGGCTACATCTGTCGCAGCGTGTGGTTTCTTTTTCGTGCCTCCCGGCAAGCCCCGAACCACGAACTCATGAACTGCAAGTGCAAGGGGGGCTCAGTAAGTAGGATTTTTTCGCTAGTTGCGGATCAGGAGTTGCAAGCTAGCTGCCTTAGTTATGACTTGCATCCCTACTTACTGCAACATTCCAAGGCCTTCTCGACCTGGGACCGCTCGGTGGGCGCGCCTTATGGCGTCAGCTGGGGGCACAAGCTCCTCGAAGAAAGGTTAACTTCTTACTATAGGATCCTTAGGGAGGGTGGTTCAAAGGGGGAGGGTACAAGGAATCCTTAGGGGACTCTAAGGGAACCTTAGAGAGTACTAGGGAGACTTGGAGATTATTGGGTTATATACCTCCCTCAGAACCCCCTCCCTAATGGATCCTCTGATTTCTTGGGTCCTGAGCCGTCGAGTAAGTCCTCGGGGATGGATGGTGTAGGTCTTGGCGCGCAAAGCCCCAAGGTTCCATCGAAGGTCTGTTATCATTTGCTGTCAAGATGGTGGTTCAGGCTTGGCGCTAGGAGTTTAGAGTTCGGGTTGGTCAGGTGGTAGTTGCTTTCTTTTTTCAGAGATGCCTTCACTGCAGGTTCTTGCAGTTCGGCAAGTTCCGCATCGGCGATCTGGATGGTACTCACTTCGCGATTATCTACACGGATGACGCAAAGAACTCAAGGGACGCAAAGCTCATCCAGCTGTACAGGAATGATGGAACCCAGCACCCAGGCGCTTGGTGGAAAACAGATCCCATGAATAGTGTAGCTCCCTCTGCGTGGACGTGCCCGAGCGTCGCAGAGATTGCCTTCGGCCCATGCGATGCGGATTTTGGAGCCTGGGGCGATCGCTTCATCCAGCTGGGGAAGTTTCGCATCACAGCAACCGACGCCAATCACTTGAGCATCTCCCACAAGGACAAAAAGACTGCCGTGGTTCTTGGTTGTCAATTTCACAGCTTTCCCACACTTGGTTTTGTGTGTTGTTTTGCAATGGGTAGTTATTCTGAAAGTTTTTAAGCTACTGTTCCTTGGGTACGTTGGAAGTAAGATTTATTCTGGAAATCCAACCTCCCATGGTGTCCACTACGGGCCAAGAGATGATTTTGGCGGCTGGGACCGGCCTACGGGCTTTCCACACGGAATCAGCTTTGGGACGGGCTTCATCCAGATCGGCAACTTCCGTCTGGCGGCGAAAGATGAGACGCATCTGAGCATCTCGCACCAGAGACTTGGGTCCTTGCTAAGGGCTCAAAGTTTAGGTTGCAATAACTTTGGTTGTATAGAGGAGATGATGTAGATTCCCAGATTCCGAGTCGAGGTGGTATCTTGAGTTTTGGCCTTGCCAGAGACCCAGGACAGCAGGGTGCATAAGGATCTTTGACTCTGCTGGAAATCTGTTCGATGGGAGAGGCCGGGACGACCACAACGCCTTCCTTCTACGCAGCACTGGGGCTCCCGCCGGCGTCACGTTCGGGGAAAAGTTCCTGCAGCTTGGGCAGTTCCGTCTCGGGGACAGGGATGGTAGCAACTTTATGATCACCCACCTCACCGCCAACGGCGGTACAGGCATCGAGCTTTTCAATTCCTGGGGCCAGAGGTATGTGATCAAGGAATGGCCAAGCCTCCAATCATGGTTCAGCGTCCTGAACTCCAGGCCTGCCCAATATCATTGTGGCAGCGTCCAGGACGTGTTGGGGACGTGTCCAGGCATCTTTGTCATTGTTGTTTAACAGTTTGCAGTTTTATGGGTACTTAATTTCAATATGTGGAGTTCGATTTTCAATACTATCCCCAGATATCCCAAGCATGAGCCAGGAGTGCTTGCGGGCGACGGCTTCTTGCAGCTTGGCAGCTGGCGACTTGGGGCGAACCAGGATGCAGGTCACCTGGTCATTACCCACGAACACGGCCAGACGGCGGTGATCTACGTCGAAAATGACGGGGCGACCGGGGCCCACTATGTCCACCTTGGTCCGAGGCAGGACTTCTGGAGTCTCAGATGATGTTAGCCTTGTTGACTTGATGGCCCTTCCGGCTTTTTTCGATGGGGGGGGTTGCAGTTTCAAGTTTTTAGGAGGCTATCTGAAACCCTAAATCGTAAACCCTGAACCCTTCTAGGAGGGGCTCAAATGCCTGCCGAGGAATGCATGGGTTGGCGAGCCCAAAGCCCCCACTCAAGATCACGAGGTGAAGTTCGGAGACCGCTTCATTCAAATGGGCAAATTCAGAATAGGCGAAGTTCGCACGGACAGGGATCATCTCGTGATCTCTACCCCAAAGGGTGTGACGACGGATATCTTCAGGAGCGACGGCCACAGGTTTCAGGGGCCCCATCGGGATCCTACCTGGAATCTTTGGTCAGATTCACGGCCAGCTGGGGCGCCCGTGGGGGTTACCTTCGGAGACGGCTTCGCGCAAATCGGAAACTTCCGAATTGGAGATGCGGGTGAGGGTCATTTTTCGGTGGCACACGTGAGTGGTTGGACTTCGGCGCTCTTCACACCTGATGGGAATCAGCACTGGGGTGCCAGCAACGACTGGACTACATTCGGTCGACCTCTCCATGAGTGCACCGTCGTCGGGCAGCCCTGAAAAATCAGGGCATATCGACCCACGTGGACAAATGCTCGCACATTTTCGGTCATGTGGGCGTACTTCAGTCAGCGCCGGCGAGAAAACACGCAGAAGCATTGATCGTAAACTGAAGGAGTGAATTTAATATAGATTTCGGTAAGTTTCATGAGCATACGTTCAATTTGATCCTTGTCTCGGTTGTGGCATTTGGCATACTTGTTCTCTGATTCCGAGTCCTGCCGTCAGGAGCATGCATATTGTTGGTGATTCGTCGGTTGTTTGGGTAACGCTCCCTTCGTTGTCTGTTTTGACGCATGTTGATGCATGCATGCTGTTCAAGGAAGGATGTAGATGTAGTTCGACTAGACCGCAGTGCCTATAGTGCCTGCCTGTATCTCAGAATGACTTACAGGTGATTCGGGGTTACAGACTGTTGCTGTTTGTTGCTTAACCTGTGCTACACTTGTGCTCTGTTCATTTTAAGGCGATTGCGTATTCCATAGCAACAATATATACGAGTTGTACTTTACAAAATATTTATTATTCAGATCATAAAAATATTATGATCCCGACGACAATTTTAATAGAACCATCCCTAATATAATAGAATTTTTTCATATATATATATTATAAAATATATTGCTAATATTCGTCTACTCTAGATTAATTCCTTTAAGATTAGAAGTTTCGATATATAGGGAATTCTTTAGTTATGTTGATAGAGTAGATATGGAGTAATATCAAAATTGAGAAAATAGTTCCTTAGATTCATATTTGATCTTTTCTATGATATTGCTTCTAGTGGGCGATATTATTTTTTATATTTCTTGATCTTTTTATTTTTCGAAAAAGTTGGTCGGAAGATTTCGTGCCGGTATTATAGAGAATAGAGTAATCTTTAAGTTCGGATTATTCGATTCTCTATTTTTCGGAAGTCTATCTTATAATTTATTAATAGTCTCTGGATCCTCGCTTGGTTTGTCCGAGTTGTGAGAGTAAAATAATCTCTGATCCGGCGACCCAAGTAACTCGATATTATGCTTTAGATAGATTTACGAGTATTCTTCTTTCAAAGATATTCTAAAATATTGAAATTTAATTAAAATGAAATCCCCAAGCTCCCGGAGTGAGCTAACGCTCTATTCTGTTATAGGAGTATGATATCTAGGCGAAAGCTATTTAATTGAATCGTGAAAATTGACCATTTATTAAATATTTCAATAAATAATAAATTTCATATTATGTTTGAATATTTTAATATTACTCAAATCAAAATATTTAAATCAAATAATAATCGATCTAAATAAATTTTCTCGATTCAATTTACTATTGATATAATTAAATATAAAAAATTTGGCCGGCACAAATATTATAAATTTTCTTATATTTTGAAAAATTCATTATTTTGAATCTCATATGATATGATTTCTTTATTATCTCTCCTTTATAATTTTCAAAAATTTTTATGATTTGATATCCATATAATATGATATTCTATAGGGAAGCTGGGCTTATAATTTAATTATTATTAGATTAAAATTCTTAATTTGAGAATTTTTCTTGCTTTATTATATCTTGAAAGAAGATCTTATCTATTTGAAGCCCGCTTATCTCTGAGCCACGACTGGGAATTATATGATTAGGCGCTATCTCGTCTTCCGATTCGAAATTCGAGGGCATGGAGGACAATCACTCTACAGAATTTCATTCAGAAGCTATGATTGAATAAATAATCTATATTAGATTCGTAATATCAGGAGAAATTTGAGCTATCTATTCTATAGATAGAATAAATGAATCAACCTTTCCCATTTATGATTATAAGACCATCAAGAGATAAGCAATTATGTATATTATCAATAAATACGCTAAATATCTCATAGCAGATAAATTCATTATTCGTAATCAAGAAATAAGAAATATATCTTAATATTCTTTCTCAGAATGAGATATAAATATTCCTCGAAATTAATCTATATCGAATCTCGTGAGAATCTTTATTTAATAGATAGATTCACGAGGAGATAGATAATTCTCGGTAATTAAATAAATATTGATATTATTATCGACTTATAAAGAATTAAAGATATATTTATAAATTCTTATTATGATTATTCTCCATGATGTCGCTAATAATCAAATGACGAGCTCAGATAGATTATATCTCATATCAGTTTAGTTCTAATCATATCTAAATTGAATATATATATATATTGATCAGGATGCTGCTCTATAATATAATGAATAAGCTCATATTAATCAAGATATTATTCTGAAATATTTTTTATAGCAAATTTAAATAAGATAATCAAGCCAGATAAAGGATTTTTCAAAAAATAATTCTCTAAAATCATATTATAGATAAAAAAAATCTTCTCTTTCTTTTCCGAAATCAGCATAGTCATACTCTTCTTCTTCGCTATGAATAAATCTAGGATTTAGCATATCTCTAAGGAATAGATTGATAATAATGATCTCTTCAAATTCAAGAAATCGATAAATATTCAGCGCTCCATTCGATTGGGATCATTGCCATCGTAATTATAGATTGTGGCGAGGCTATCGCCTTCCCCCATCTTTCTCTCGCTTTAGATATGAATAATTATAGATAAATTAATCATCTTCTTCATAATTGAAAAAAATATTTCGTCTTATTAGCAGCGCTCTTTAAATCATCATCTTCTTTTTTATCTTTTTTTTCCTGCCTCTTCCTTTATTATCTTTATCCTTCTCTCCCTTCTTACCTTTCCCTTTGGAATCCTTTCCTTTCTTTCCCTTGCCTTTGAGAAAGGCGGCGAGGGTATCCTTCATCCAAAAACTCTTGGCGTATTTCACGGGCTCCTTCTCATAGCTAATCAAAAAATATAAATTGCTCCAATATATCGCTCCTTCTAGATAAAAAGATATATTCTTTATATCTTTTAGAAAAATAATGAAAATATAATATCATCTTCTCCATCTCCGAAAGTCGAATTTTTGATCAATTTATGAAGGTTCGGTCTGATCTCATTAATTCCGTATCTGAAATCCTGGAGATGTCAAATAATAGAGGGCATTATTTCGTAAGTCTGTATGCCAAGGTATTCTCTCGAATAGAAATGATCTCTAATCTTGATTGAATCATAAATTCTATATTGAGCTTCTGAAACGATTCGTAGTCGCAACTTGTTCCAGGCTGCAACTATTTATACTAGATCAAGATATCAAATCCCTTCTGGAATCTAGATAAACTCTACTGCAAGAGATTCTGGAACCTGGCGGAACGAGCAATAGGCCCCTTCTCAAGAATATTCTAATTTATTTATTTATTTATAATGATCAGATGGCCCAATTCAATCGATAAAAATCAATAAGCAGAGGTTTTCAATTCGAGATGATCTGAATATATTCGATCCATATAACGATTTCTCCGGTAAGCATCCTCATTTTCTCATAATTCAGATTGGGAATCTTAGATAAATAGTTCTCGGATTTGATATGGCGATCATCTCCATAAATTATCTCTATCTCTAGATTCTTTCTTTATAATGGATGCGTCAATTCTCGAAATAGCTCTTCTTGCAAGAGATACGACCTGGTTCTTGTCAAATTGCGCCAACTCGGAGATCTGTTGCGGTTTTGACTACACAATCTGAGCTGCAAGCTAATGCTCAGAAATACCAACTGATTGGGAAATGGAGCAGTCCCAGGCGGAGCAGACACTAGTCCTTGAGGATGATTTGATCTCATTATTGGAATTCTCTATTGAATGGGAAGATGAAGAGGATTCTTTATATCTCTTATCTTTCTCGAAGACGAGCTTAGAAAAAAATTATTCGAAGGTCTCGCTAAAAAATTCCTTCTGATATCTCTCATAATTCTGCCGGTGTGTCGCCAGGTAGTCTTGGAGGTCTCCCCCTCTCTCTGGAGCGAAGATTGCAGATATCAGATATATCTTTTTTTATATAGATTCATAGACGTGGCAATCATATCCCGCTATCACGATAAATATTGATATTATTCTACTTGTATTCTATTTCCTCGAGATCCGCTTTGCTGGGGATACTACACTCCTCGAATCTAAGAAATTCTTGTAAGGGATCGATGACGACCTGTCGCAAAAAAGATATTATGAGCTCCCATGAATCCAAGATGAATATATATGAGTTGAATTCAAGATGAACTCATATGCTACATGAATCTCGGGAGCCTCATCTAGATATGGATCAAGAAGCTGCCATAGCAATACGGGACGATATGAGGATATATTCAAATTTCCCGGATATTCGGAAGACCTGAATAACCTCTAAAATCCCTCGAAATCGATCATCCTAATCGTGATGGGACGCGAATCTTCTACGAGCCTCGAAATCTTCGAAGGTCCGTGATGCAGCCCATATAGAAATAATATGGATGTATGAAGATTGGCAACCCTATAAAATAATCTATCCAGCCTCGCCACTCGAGAGTTGCACAAGGCGCTGCTGCCCGGTCGGAGCGCGATAAAGCAGCAATATCTATACTTAATTCTCAGCCTGGGCGCATTTGGTGCATGTGCCGAGCATCTCCAGATTATATTGCCCTGTAGTCTGATCGCAATATCGGTATATCTACCAAATAAATAAATCTTCGGAACAAGAACTCGGGAGCAACTGCCGAGCCTTCTCTCATCCAGCCATGATGCCTAGAAGAATTACGCCCTAAGCCGCGGCGTGAAGGACTCTAGCTAGGTCCCGGCCATACTAGAAAAACGATAAAATCTGGAATCTGAGATTCGGGACGGACTTAAGGGGGGCGGGCCACTCCCACACGCTCCTACCTGCAGTCCTGGGCACTCATTGCAACTTCCACCAAAAGCCCTCTAGGTCCCAAGCGTGCTGCAAGGCGAAAATCACAAGATCTAAGAAGTAGTCAGAAGCAGGGGATGGGGCTGGGCGCGTAGATAAATCCCTGATTGCCTTTTATACCACCCAGGCAAATCAAACGATTCGCATTCTGAGGGACCTGCGCGACGGTCTATAGAGAAGCTACCGCCCCCTACGACGCTACGATGTTGCTGCACCTACTGTGTTGCTACTGTATTGCTGCTGTGCTGCTGCTGTGCTGCTATTGTCTGCCATGGTGCTGCTATTGTGCTGCTACTGTATTACTGCTGTGCTGTGTTGCTATTATACCGCTATTGCAATGATTCCGTGCTGCCTCTGTGCTACCATAGACAATAATCTCGATCCCTATTGGGAGAACCGCGGCATGGAAAGACCAATTTGAATGAAGAATGATGAGCGGGGGATCTTTGAGATTGGAACTTTATATTCGTAGGATAGATAAGGACCAAGCTTACTACGGGGGCTCTAGCAAAAACTTACTATAAAAGTCGGCGGGCGTAACTAGATATTATTATAAAAATGAAGTGAAATAATATTATTGAATAAAGGGGAGCAGCACCGAATATCTGGCGAGATTATAGCCTAAATCCCCATAGATCAGGTCGATAATAGTCATAGGCTCGCCGCCATTGCACGCCCCGACTACGGAAATCTTGAGTTAAATTTAGGCAACGTCCCACCGAAATCGTGCGCTCGCCGCAATTTGGGGAGACACGGCCCGTCAACGCCATTTTGGTATCGCACGCGCCTTCTCGAGGCTGGTTGGGTCGCTTTTGGCCAGCGGGCCCGGACTAATCGTGTAATTAAGCAGGAGTTGCATTAATAATCGAGACCGCGCTCGGTCCGTGATGCCCGACGATTCTATATGATTATCTTCGTCTTATCTTAAATCCTCCGGATCACGTTCTGGGGCTGCTGGGCCGCTTTTGGCCGCCGGAATGGATCAGGCACTCATTATGAATAAGATCATGATAAAAATCGGGGTCGCAATCGGTCCGTGATGCCCGCCGATTCTGGAAGATTAAAATCGGTCCATCCCAAATCCTCACGGACCACGTTCCGAGGTTGATAATACCGGTTTTGAAAAACTTGGGGTACGGTATAGAATTTGTAGCCGATGGGCATTTCGAACAAGACATGTCGGCAATTGAATATAGGTCCCACCTGTCTTCATTCCGAAATTTTAATTAACGGAGAATAAAAAAGATAGACGTGCCGGGACGTCATGGAAGAACTCTTCGAAATCAAAGCGACTCCTGGATCTATGATCCATAAATTGGAAGTTCCGGAGCGCTTCCAGGTAATGGGATCGGGAGCTTTTGATAAATACTACACCCTGGACTTCTTCGGGCACGGGGAGGTATGTGCAGTATCTCGAACGCAATAGATCGGTAGGAGGTCTATTCTACCACGAACCACTTCCTCCAAAATCATTTCCCGGTAGGTCTAGAGATCTATCGTCGTATTTTTCAATCGTCTTATAGATCTATATCATGATATTCAGAATATGCCCGGGCACTTGAATCACGCGCTAGCTCCAGAAATTATATAAAGTCGCGTAGGGATCGAAGACGACGGAGGAGATTCTACGGCCCTGCTAGTTGCGACGAGCGAAAATGGGTGTCCAGGAGTTAAAGAATTTTAGAAAATAAATAGTACGATCTATATTATTTCGTCGATTATTGTAAGGGATTCTGTAAATAATGAATAGGAAATTCATTTCTCTAAGCACTTGTCGGTGTTTCTCGGATGAGCGAGAATAAGTCTTCAATTTTTCTTTTTTATAAGTTTCTGAGCAAAACGATAAATTTTTATGAGACGATATTGGGCTACGTTCTAAATTCGTGTGTGGGTAGAGTTATTTATTTTATTATTAATATATTGAGGTGGTATCTCTTTTACTCTTCGCTATGAGGCGGCACGCAAGTAGAGCCACTTATTACCGAAGCTGGCGCTAGGAAAACCGCTAGATTCGCTCTAGGCATGATTCGAATCGCATGATGTCGCATGTTCAAGCTGAAGCTGTCTTTTACATCCCATACCCTAACCTCAAGGCCCAACCGCATCAGAGTAGCTGAACAGCACTCGTTGTTGCCGTAACGGGAGTAATCATAGGTGTCTTCAGGAGGTCTCTGCCGCGCTGCCTTTGTGCCTCCTGATTGCTTGCAGCAAGGTCATTTTCGGGTATTTATAAGAAAGGCCAGCGCGCTAGATCCATGCTAGCTGGACGCTAGCAAAAATTCAATGCAACCTGCCATAGAAGACCCTGGCCCATGTCAGCACAAGCTATATTGAGTAGAGACTGTGCATAAGCGCATTTCCTGTCTCCGTCCCCATGTACCCCTCATATACACACCGGAGCTAGACAATTAGAAGCAGAACATATACGGGCATCATTTCATAGCACTAATACGGGGCTCGAGCTCGCAAGCAGCAGCAGGCGGCACATCTTATATTCCCACCAAGAGTCCAGTAGCAGCAGTAGCAACAACAATTCTTCGGATAATTGCTATGTAAAAGTCTGCGCGCTAGTATCCTTCTTAAGAATCCATACGTATGACCCAAAATTCCTGCATTTGTGGATATATATATCTGTAAGCCTAATTTTCTTTTACTATATGTAGCATCATGTAAGCAATAAATATTTTAATAATAATCCATATATTTTTATGAATCGAAATTTAGCTTTATCTAGAATAGATCACTAAATATTAATATATTGCTAAAAATATTTTAGATTTTGAAAAACCTATTTATTTTTTCTAGAAAAAATGAATATTATAATATGAAAATAACGAAATTCTATATATATATATATATTTCTAATTTATCATATAATAGAATCTAATCCGCCGATCCTAGTAGTGTGCTAGATACGAAGGGTCAAATGGTATTAATTTCTATAATTAATTTCTATAGAAAGTACTAGCCTACACAACGTGGGGTTAACACCTTGGGGCCGAATTGAACCGTCTGTAGGCAAATTTGACCTCGTTTTTGTTCCGTTCCATCTCCCCCCTTTTTTTTTGTCCCCCCTCCCTTCTCCTTCCCATTCTTGCCCCTACCACCTCCTGGATGGTTGGGGAGGCTTCCTCTTTCCTCCCCCCTCCCCTCCGTTCCCTCCCCCAAAATCTGCCCCGCGTCCCCCTCGCGCGTTGACGGCTGCTGTCCTAAGCCCTCACGTCCTTTCCTCTCACTCCTGCGGGGTCGGCGGCTTGAGCCGGAGGCTCTTAAATATGTACTAAGTATGAATCAAACCTAGCTTGATTAAATCATTTGTTCTTCTTCCTTGTACGGCACGCTTTATTGTTGCCAGTGCAGGCTTTGCTGCTAAGTACATGGTCAAATGATCGAAATGCCTGCAGATCCCAGATTGGCCTGAGGGCCTCTCTGGTCCTCTTCGGATCTAACGGGGGAATGGAAGAGGTCCTTCGACCCCCTCCGATTCGAGCTGCTGTGGAAACCGGCAACGTCGCAGGCCGGCAGGCCTAAGGCGTGTGAAGCTCTAGACCGTACAGTAGCAGAGGGGCTGAAGGTGGCCGGAAACGTCAACGGAGCAGTCAACGGGATTCCGGTTGTAGTAGCAGCCGTTCGTACCTGCAGTATGTACAATTGAAGGCAGGCTGCGTTAAGCCGCAAGCAACAATTTGGTACTGAGAATACTTTGAAATAAGGCACTTGGAAAGAAAAACCTCAACAACAACAACAATTTCTGGCCGCGACACCTGGTTCATAAGTTGGCAGCTTGTTCCACTGCCCGCCGCTCACATCGCATGTGTAGTTCATCTTCTGCAGCAGCCGCCTGGCCCTAGGGATTCGATTGATCTCCCCGATGCTGGTGGCATCGCAGGCTTTGCCTAAACCGGCGCAGGTGGCGTCGCAGTTGCCTCCAAGGGGTCCCAAAACCCAGTTCGGATCCTGAGCAGAACAACACTAGCTTCAGCCCAAACCTATGGCACACGAAAAATCAAAACAAGCACAGGCATGTTTATCACCGAATGGGATCGAAAGGGTAATACTTGCGGCGCACGAAGCCAATGGAGTCGGAGATGGAGCTGTGCCATTGCACGCGCACACCGGCTGATTTTCCTCCCTCCTGTTCGCGTCACAACTTAAGGCATTTCGATTGTAGTAGCATCCACCCAGATCTGGTCTGTAAGTGGGCACGTTGTTCCAGTCTCCCTCACTCACATCACACGTGTAGTTCAGGCTCTCCAAGAGGCGCCGAGCACGTGGGATCCGATTGATCTCCACAATCCTGTCGAAGTCACAACCAGCATACCCAGTGTACCGGCAGTAGTCATTGCAGGTGTCGTGGAGTTCGCCCAAGACCCATCCGACCTGTGCGATTGACTTCGGAATTGTATGATTTCGAGATGCTAGTAACACTTGCTGCTTGATTTGACAAAACGAACATTGCACAACAAACAAGAAGCACAAGAAATGAACTCGAGCCGCCCACGAGGGTCCCCTTTCTACAAGTGGCTGGTGGAGACGGGGATGGAGCAGTGCCCTTGCACGCGCACACCGGCTGATTTTCCTCCCTCCTGTTCGCGTCACAACTTAAGGCATTTCGATTGTAGTAGCATCCACCCAGATCTGGTCTGTAAGTGGGCACGTTGTTCCAGTCTCCGGAGGTCTCGCTCGCGTTACACGTGTAGTTCAGGCTCTCCAACAGGCGCCGAGCGCGTGGGATCCGATTGATCTCCACAATCCTGTCGAAGTCGCAACCAGCATACCCAGTGTACTGGCAGTAGTCATTGCAGGTGTCGTGTAGTTCGCCCAAGACCCATCCAACCTGTGCGACAGATGGCGCTAGCGTGCGATAGGCGGCTCAGTAGCGTTTCCAACGTTGTATAATTCTAGATGCTGGTTGCACTTGCTGCCTAGTTTAACAACACGAAACATTGCACAACAACCAGCAACCACAAGCAATGAACTCGGGCCATCCGCAGATTCCCCTTGCGAAACAAGTGGCAGGTGGAGACGGGGGTGGAGCTGTGCCATTGCACGCGCACACGGGCTGATTTTCCTCCCTCCCGTTCGCATCACAACTTAGAGGAAGTCGATTGTAGTAGCATCCGCCCAGATCTGGTCTGTATGTGGACACGTTGTTCCAGTCTCCCTCACTCACATCACACGTGTAGTTCAGGCTCTCCAACAGGCGCCGAGCGCGTGGGATCCGATTGATCTCCACAATCCTGTCGAAGTCACAACCAGCATACCCAGTGTACTGGCAGTAGTCATTGCAGGTGTCGTGGAGTTCGCCCAAGACCCATCCAACCTGTACGACAAATGGCCCTCGAGTACGATAGGTGGCGTAGCATTAACTTTGGCATTGTATGATTCTAGACTCTAGACTGTAGATGCAAACCTGCCGCTCGAAACAACAAGCACAAGAATGAACTCGGGCCATCCAAAAATTCACCTTGCGAAACAAGTGGCAGGTGGAGACGGGGGTGGAGCTGTGCCATTGCACGCGCACACCGGCTGATTTTCCTCCCTCCTGTTCGCGTCACAACTTAAGGGATTTCGATTGTAGTAGCATCCACCCAAATCTGGTCTGTAAGTGGGCACGTTGTTCCAGTCTCCATCGCTCACATCGCACGTGTAGTTCAGGCTCTCCAACAGGCGCCGAGCGCGTGGGATCCGATTGATCTCCACAATCCTGTCGAAGTCACAACCAGCATACCCAGTGTACTGGCAGTAGTCATTGCAGGTGTCGTGTAGTTCGCCGAAGACCCATCCAACCTGTCGGCAAGTGGAGCAGAAACACCCGAGACTTACACATCCCAAGTATGAGATTGCGAACCAAACGCATCAACCGTCCCAACGGACAATATGCTGACCAGTGTGACCTCACTATGCTAGTGGTGGTAGTAGTAGTAGTAGTAGTAGTAGTAGTAGAAGCAGTAGTAGTAGTAGTAGTAGTCGTCGTCGTCGTCGTCGTCGATGTAGTAGTAGTAGTAGTAGTAGTAGTAGTAGTAGCAGTAGAAGATGCAGTAGTAGGTCGTCGTAGTGGTAGTGGTAATGGCAGTGGTAGCGGTAGTGGTCGTGGTAGTAGTAGTAGCAGTAATAGCAGTAGCAGTAGTAGTAGTACTAGTAGTAGTAGTAGTAGTAGTAGTAGTAGTAGTAATAGTAGTAGTAGTAGTAGTAGTAGTAGTAGTAGTAGTATTAGTAGTAGCAGCAGTAGCAGAAGCGAAGCAGCAACAGCAGCGCTACCAGCTCTAGAGACAGCAGCAGAAGCAGTAGCAGCGTAGTAGTAGTAGTCGTCGTGGTGGTAGTAGTAGTAGTAGTAGTAAGACGTAGTTCGTAGAACCAGTATGTACTAGAATGTGGTCGTTGTCGTCCTCCTCCTCCTCGTCGCCTCATCGAGGGACGTATTCGCACTCGTAGAAATCGTAGTAGCAGCAGTGGTAGTGACAGTGGCGGTTGCCGTGGTCGTCGTGGTGTTAGCAGCAGTCGTCGCGGCAGCAGTGGTTTTGGCAGTAGCAGTGGCAGCGGCAGTAGCAGCAGCGATAGGAGCAGGCGCAGGCGCACGAGCAGGAGCAGTAGCATGGGCAGGAGTGGTGGTGGTGGTGGTGGTGGTGGTGGTGGTGGTGGTGGTGGTGGTGGTGGTGGTGGCGGTAGTAGTCGTAGTCGTAGTAGTAGCAGCAGCAGTAGCATCGGCAGTGGCAGCGGCAGTAGCAGTCGCAGTAGTAGTTGTTGTGGACCGTATCACAGGCGTAGCTCAACATGTAGTGATTTTTCGGATCTGTGGAACAGCGGCAGCAAGTGATTTTGACTGGATACGATTGGAATGTCTGTTACCCCTGAGTCTTGCCGGAGCTCAAAGTCAGTGCGGGTACGGTAAACCCTGGTGCAAACCCGTTGGAATGCTTAGGCTGCAGGGTGAAGGTGCAGGGTTGTTAGAAGCGATTTCTGTCGAAGTCATATATGTCAACTTCAAGCTTTATCAACTGACCGCCCGAACCCGAAGCCAAAGCCCCTTCAATCAATCGGAACGCTTTTGAACGTCATGTGGTCCATTAATCAACAGCATGGGCTGCTTCTGCTATGATTTATCGCGGGGACGGACTGTCTAGAGCCAGATTGGGACGAGCTGCTGGTGTTGTTGTCGTCGTCGTGCCAATGCAGTAGCATAAGGGTTGATGCTTTTCCTGCCTGTTCGAGTCGCAGTCCAGTGCGGGCTTGTTCAGGTAGCACCCTGACGGCCCTGGCGCATAGGTTGCGATTTCATTCCAGATGCTGCCATTGACAAGGCAGGTTTTTCCCAAGTTCTGCATCTCGACCGCAAGCTCCTCCTCCGTATCTACGGTCTCCATCTCGGCCAGATCACAGCCAGAATAGCCGAGAAACTGGCAGTAGTCATTGCAGGTGTCATGGAGTTCACCCAGCGTCCACATGGGGGGAGCCTCAAGCTGGTGATTGTAGCAAGACAGTGAGACCCCTGCGAATACTCACAGCTTCGTGCAAAGATGGGATGCATTCTTGGCCATGGATCTTGACATACGGGGGGTGTTGCTGCAATGGCCTAGCTGCCGCCAAGACTCCGACCGGGCAGTTGACTGAAGGCTGACAGGTTTATCGCACAACAGGAGCTGAAAGTTGTGTGGCCAACGGTCTGCCCTGCTCTTCTGGGACAGTGTGCAGTAGGTGCTAGTAGGTGTTTGCAGGCATGAATCAAAAGCTCCCCGACACGGCATGTTCAGGCTCAAAACTGCAAACAAGCCGCAGGTGTTGCTGTCGTGGTGGTTGGCACAACGGGCGCCTGGAGATCATCGAAAAAATCCGGGAGAGGTTCGTATCTGAAAACGAAGCTTTGCCTCCGAGCTTGTTGAAGTCGTTGACAGGGATGCCTCGAAAAAGCGTGGCAGAACAGCGTCGAACTTGGGATCACTGCTCATGTCGAACATATCGGGAGAGACCCACAAACGCTTGAAAAAAGGCTCTGCCTCGGAGCTCGTTGAAGTTGTTGACACGGGTGCCTCGAAGAGAATTCGGAATGAATATCACAGCTTTCGGAGGGAACAACATTTGCTAGACAAAGCAATTGATCAGTCTGGCCACTGCCGGTTGATGAAGTGTTATAGTAGTTATAGGATAGATGCCAGAAAGTGCTGTGAGTGGACGAACCACAACTCATTCTGCAAGCTTCAGTTGTTCATGACATAGGGGGATGACTGCTTAGGAACCTAGCTTCGTGCGGTAAGCCTTGCAAGCCCTGCCACTTGCACATGTAACCTTGAAGACCATCGAAGGGCTCCCAAAACTGCAAGACCGGACGCAAACCTTGCAGCACAGTGGCTGGCTGGTAGTAGCTATATTGCCGGCGCCCACGCCACAGCCTCTCTTCTGCTTAGTGCTTCGGCAGTCCCGTCGCATCTGTTTGATCCGCCAAATTGAACAAAAACATGAAACATCAGCTCCTTTCAAAACAAGTCCCCGACCTTACATCACAGGGTGAGGGCGCCAATCCGCTAATCTACTCCCATGGGCGAACAACGGACCTTGACCGACGGCGGCGCGGACGGCGCTCGGCCTTCAGCGATCCGGTCCACTCGCTGTCAGTGAAGCTGTTGACGCATCAGGTTTACTCGGATATCTTCTTCGGTATTTCCCGAAAATGTGTTCGAAGGGTTTTTCGATGGAGGATTTTCCGTCTGTATGATGCGATGATATGCTGTCACGATTTCCCTGCTTCCATTCTCTGTCTCTGATATTGTCCCCAAACACTTAAGTACGTTGAAGCCGTGGGCAGAGGAGCTTTTCCAATACTAAAGTTTGCGGAGTGTGTCGATAAGAACTTAAGATCTGTATGTATGCCACTGTATGCCTGGATGGATGTATCTATCCGTGGATATATACGAACTGTATACTGACGGATGGATGGATCGATGCATGGATGGATGGACGGATGCATGCATGATTGTATGCATGATACATAATTCATGTTGCTGCTTTCTTGTAAAGACTTGCGGGACACCCAGGATCCAGTTCAGCAGACTCAACACCGTTCTTCTCAAACTCACCCGCTTTAACTTGCAAGTTGCAAGAGGCCTGCAGAGAACCTCTGCCCAGCTTGCTTTGCAACAACGCTGTGTCGTCCACGGTGCCATTGTTGCGACTGGCAGGGGCAATATGCATGTCTGTAAATTTGGACATCTATACACACGTACGTACATACATACATACATACATACATACATACATCGTAACAAACAATGCCTAGTAGGCGCAGTGAGCTGGCCTACAAACCAACTGGCGAGACCACATGATGAAATTTCCAAGCCCCATAAAGGACGGGTAGATGCAGCTGGTATCGGCATTGCTGTGGAGACTGCGAGCCTGCATGTCTTGCTGTGGCAGGTGTTGACATCTGCATTCTGCGGCTCTTTGCCATGCACGCAAGCCAACATTGCCTGGGACAGCGGCTGGGCTTGTGAACTGATGTCCTCCAACTTGTATACCCAGGAAACAACTGTCCTCTCACTACCAGAATACCGGAACCGAAGGGGAGCACTCCCAAAGCTTCAACTCACACGCTAATAATGTTATCGAACTGCTCGGTCATGCTCCGTCGCAAGATGACTATGATCATGTTTGCAACAACACGAGACGTACAGGATAAGACAGGGGTAGGGGCGTGGGCCACTTGTGCCAAGATACGGTCCAAGCTAGGAGGAAGGCCATGCCACCTCTGCCGCCTTTGCATGTAAGGACCATCTCATCTGCCGCAATGCTTTGGTCCGACAAGCTGCTCTTTGAGCCCAAGGCTACACGCAAGGATGACATTGACATGCAAAGGCCCCGCTGCGAGACACACCGGCAAGCTGCGTGAACGGCACGGGCGTTTTTTCATCGTTCCCCCCTCCCTCACCCAGATAATACAAGGGCAGCGTTGCATGGACTCTGCGCCGAACATTGCGACGCAGCGCATTACGCATGGTCGTGCAGGACTCGGGAACAGCAGCAGGATTGGACTGTCTACAGGTCTACACCATCTACACGTGCGACGGCTGTCCCGAACACCCAAGCACGCCTGTGGCCGATCGGCTTAGCAAGGGCTAGTCATCACGAGATTGACTAGGGCCACCATCGCTACGAAGCCGTCCTTGACCTTACTCGCATCCACAGCCCTGGAGGACTGCAGCGAGCATGGCCATGAGCCCTTGTGAGTCATGCCATCGCAAAGCAGATCAGGATGCAAGGTTGCTGTGGCCGCACACCGCGAAGCCGAAGGCCGACAGGTGGTCAAAGACGGGCTGCCTTGAAGCAGAGCCTCCATCGCTCCGCCATCCTGCGTCTTGAATATTGGGTTTAGGGATGCTTAGGGTTTAGGGGTTTAGGGGTTTAGACGGTTTACGGGTTTAGGGATTACTGCCGTACATGTGGATGAGGCACTAGCGTCACTAGCACATGTTTACACGTTGCAGACAGCAACGTGGTGTCCATTTTGCCTGATCGTCCAACTGAGTGGTCTGCCTGCCCTTCTGCCTGATCTATGACCGATAGAACATACCTCTGTAAGCAGAGGATCCGCCTTTCGCCTGTACAGTTCGGAGATACCCAGAAGAGGTGCTGCCATGCTTTAAGCCGTAGCAGCCAAATCAGAGTTAGAGACTCAGAATCCTCGGAGGCACTTCGTTGCTGACTGGCACCTTCTGTGGATTCATCCTGATCCTGTCAAGAGACCCCCCGCGCCAGCAACACCAAAGGCTGAGCATGATCAGAAACATCGATGCGGCGAAGGCCGCGACGCTCGTCCAATACGTCTGCAGTGCGGTGGACCAGACGCTTGCAAGCGTCTCCATGCCCATGTAGCTGAAAACACAGGCCAAAGCGCACACGAGGGTAGAAACCCCGTCAAGCCAACGGTTGAGAGGCTGTCCACGCAGCTTGTAGGCAAGCGAGGCACCAATCATGAAAATCACTGGAACAGCAAAGATCCAGCCCAGGATGAAGAAGCTTCCAATGAGCGGCTCGCGGATGGCTGGGGCAAGAAAGGTCCACAACAGCGGACATGAGCAACCCCACATCCAAGACACCGGGAAGGAAAACTTTCCCAGCTGTTGAGCTAGGGCGCTGGACACAGTCGTCTGAATGGTCTTCTCAAAGCTTTCCAAAGAACCAAACCATTCCACTATGCATCGCTCAATGATCTGACGATCGCACAGCATCCGATTTTCATGCCCAGTGGCGCAGCAGTAGCAAGTCGCACCGTCCTGTTAGGGAGGCCCCTACATTGCATCTATGGCTTGTGCAGTCGACATGGACGTCGCAACTGACAGCACGAGACTACCGAAAGAAGCTGGCAAACCCCGGCCTAAGGCTCTAACATGTGGCTTTTTATGCAGCCCAGTCCATGCGAAAGTCGCGCATCTGCGCTTGCATCACATCTATTGAGCGGTAGAAACTCCGCAAAGCAGAGAGTGGATACCACAAGGCGGCGGACCCCGCCACAGTGGTCATAGCTATCCTGGTGAGTATTGTCCCACTCTGTGTGCCAGCTCTCGGGAGAAGCATTACCCCAAGCACTGCAAAGGAAAACCCCAGAAAGACGCCCATCGCCAGAGGGCCCAGGAAAACGGGTCTGACGGATAGTCTCGCCTCCTGGCCGCTGTGGCTTTTCAGGTACGCAGCAAGCTCAAACAAGCACCACAGACCTCAGCGAGTGCCCAAGTCGACAGCCAGGCTGCTAAGCAGTTCTTAACCATTTCGCCATTTCCTACATTCCTACAATATATGATATGACTAGAGATGAAACCTCCCTACTCGTTGGAAGATGGAGGAAGCTTGGAGAGGCACCAGGGAATCCCAAAGTCTTGCCCAACCACGACCCAAGAGTCGGCCGGAATATGTTGCGTCCCACCATACCGTCATTACTTTGGACTGCTTCAGAAAGGCGCTGATGCTAACAAGACCCGCCAATTTCAGATCACGGTCGGACTGATGAACACACACGCGGTCGAGAAAGACAGAGGTCCCCGGCCTCCACAGCAGCAAGCACAAACTGGCAACAAGCAGGCCGGACAGATTGCATGCAATTGCTTGCGGGCGTGAAGTCGCATAAATTCGATGGTACTGCCCCTGAAGAGTAGTCTCTGTCTCCCCTTCTGCCGTGCCCGCGTGCCCCATTGCGGCCGACAGGAGGAAAGCTGACAGCACAGCCGCGCAGGTGCCAGCACACAGGGCTGCCAACCCGTTATTCACAACCAGCAGTGCGCAAACCTTCTGTCGTTTGCTGCCGTGCCAGGAGTGCGACCAAAACTGGGTAATGCGCTGTGTCGGCGCACTCCGGGCATAAAGGCCATCTGCAGTCACTGCGGTCACATCAGATAGCGCCACTGCCCAGATTGCTTGCCAGGCAGAAGTGCACCGCAGCACATCGGGTCGCTTTGTCTCCATAGAGCTCATGAAGTCCACAACGCGGTCTAGGCTTGTTTGCGCCGGGCAGGCTTCGGACTCGCTACGTTCCTCAGCCTTCCGTCCGACAACCTCCGGCTCCATGGCACCGCAGGGCACTGCGGCACTTCTCCTTCGAGGAGCTTCTGAAAAGTGACTCGAGCCCGATTGCCGCTGTGGTCTCTGAACATGTGAGGCACTGAGGAGGGCTCTTATGGCTCTTGTCTAGATCAAGACCCAGACACAGCCAATCCTCGTGGCGTGTTGGCCACGACCCTGATGCAGTCTGAGTTCATGTACTCATGCAGCTCCCGAGCCATCTGAAGGGAGAACTAAAACCGCCTAGTGCTGATGGGCCAAGGGATCTCGGGCCACGGTAACCTGGACACAAGCAGGTGTTCCGAAGCATGGTCCACTGTCCTCCGTTCTTCCGGATCTGGATCTCATCCTGGTGCCTCCCGAGAGTCAGCGAGGAGATCATCCGGTGTCAGTCACTCCGAGGATAACAGACTTTCGATTGAAAACAGTCTTGGCAAGCGGCCTGGTCACCCAGACAGGTCTGAGCCTGTCTCTGGTACCCTTCTTGGTCAGGACGCGCCGCTGGATCAGCCGAAATTGCTCGGGATGTGCTCCCGCGTGCAGAGCGGCCAAATCGTCTGCTCGCTGGTCCTTCCACCGGCTGGCGCATCGTACAGTCGCCTCACCAACTTGATCGGGGGCCTCTGCTGCACATGGTGTCGGCGCTGAGCATTGCCGTGGCTGCTTGGCTGGAGCGCCACTGAATCGCCACGCACCTGGCTTCAATGCGCCCGCCAGCATGCCCAAGGTCACCTGCAGCCAATTCAAACCGACTTTGCTTCGCTGCACTTAAAACAGACTCGACCCAGGCAATGCAGACGAAGTCGGAAACAATCTGTTCAAGAGCAGCAGACTGGTGCTCATGGACCTTATTTATAGGCAGCGCAGCGCCTTGCCGCAAGACTCCAGGCCAGTGTTGCAGCCCTGCTCAAAGAACTGTGTGTCCGCAACAGCGACCAACCAGCCTCCAGGCAATGTCAGGCAGTCATGACCGCCGCGGATGCTATGCCTTGCTTCACCTCGGAGAACCCAAGCTCCAACCAATCCACCGAACACGGAGTAGCCACACGGCTTGCTGCGATACTGAAACGACATACGTGGACACAGGACTGCCAAGAGGTAGCTCCAGCAACAGACAGGCCTGACTCGCCTGTTCTCCTCGTCCAACACCAAGTCCTCAGTGAAGGAGAGTCTTGTTCCAACGGTGGCTGTGTGGACACGTGTTGCCGATCCTGGCAATCCGGTAATAGACAGGACATTGTGACGTAGGGCTGGCAAACAAACCTGCATCATCTTGTTCTTGGCACCTCAAAATTTACTGTACTCTGTACCCAATGTACCCAAATGTTTTTGTGGCCGTCGAGGCACAGTGCCAGAAAAAAGGCAGTGCTGCACGCTGCGAAACGAGATCGAACGATGTAACTATATGAAACACGTATCAAAGCGCATGTGCTCTCCCGGGAGCGTTGAGCAGTCTATGCAAAAACACGTCAGCAAAGCACTTGGCGCCACTGCTCGTACTGCTCCGAAGAAGTGCTGCTACGACGACGGCAGCGACCACGACGACGACGACGACTACTACTACTACGGTTGATGATATAAACCCTGTATTACCCATAATAAGGAATATACCATACTTCCCATAGTTTGTAGGTCGTTGAGGTAATGCAGGATCTATATATATATATATATCATCAATAGTACTACTACTATTACTCCAGCTACGTTCTGGCTATTACTTGTAAAACTGAATACCACTCCTCCTCGCAGATGACTGTACATTGCTTGCCCTGAGACTCACTCAGGCTTACGGACAGTGGCTAAACCCAAAACCCTAAACCCTAACCCTAAACCCTAAACCCTAAACCCTAAACCCAAACCCTAAACCCTAAACCCTAAACCCTAAACCCTAAACCCTAAACCCTGACCCTAAACTGAGAAACGGCCAACTCTCAGGTCGGGGCGCCACCCTCTGCAGAGCCACACTGGGCACAAGTGCCATCACTGCGCCCAAGAAGCTGCTCCTGTCCGAAACAGGAGTTTAGGGTTTAGGGTTTAGGGAGGAGCTCTCCCTCTTGCCAACTTGCTCGAAGGGTTGAAGGCACCCCGTGTCGCAGGCGTGCACCCTCACCAGGGCATTACCCAAGGTCCCAACCCTCGCCCTCCTTCCGTCGATAAACATGAGGTGTGCGTGTGCGTGTGTGTGT